ACACACACACACACACACACACACACACACACACACACACACACGCACAAACTACACTCCTTGGTTGGGTTGAGGACCAAGAGTGACTTTAGTGAGTGCCCTGTAATCCCTTGCTGTCCCCTCCCCCAGTAATGGTGCATAAAGTAAAAATTGTAATTCAAAGTTCACACTGTGTATCAAAACTCATGTGGTTCTTTCAATATTCAAATGCTATACAATGATGTGTAGATTTTTGTAAGTTTTTAATCTCATTAATATGATACTTTACAAAGTAAATGTGATGCTATTATATCTGTCTTAAATTTTAACTTGTAGGTGCATTAAGTAATGCTATTATTTATATTTGTCTTATATTTTTAACTTGTATGCATGTAATGGAAAACTTAAAGGTCTCTATTCACAGTGCCTGTGCCTTTCAAGGTTTATATACATCAGATATATACTTCTGGTTCGGAATAAGTTGCCATTGTAATTTTTCTTGGTTTTTCATTCATGAGTTTCTGTGTGTGTGTGTGTGTGTGTGTGTGTGTGTGTGTGTGTGTGTGTGTGTGTTAGAGAACAGCTTGTGGGAGTCAGTTCTCTCCTGCCACCACATGAGTTCTGGGGACCGAACTCAGGTCACCAGGCTTAGTTACAGGCACCTTAAACCCAGCGAGCCATGTCACTGGCCAATGCAGAAATTTATGAGGAGTGGTAACTTCTGAAGGACTGTGAATAAACATTTACATGGATAAAACAGAACCCAATTCTCCTCCATTAAAGGGCTCTTCACAGGTATGTGTCATACCATGAATCATAAACAGTGACATAATAACATGGTATATGTAATACACACACACACACACATATATATATATATATATACATACATACATACATAAAATGTACATCAAAGGATAGAAAAACTGAGTTGGAGAGATGGTTTACCAGTTAAGAGCACCAGCTACTCTTCTAGAGGACTCAGGTTCAATTCCTAGCACCAACATGGCAGCTCACAACTGTCTGTAATTCTAGTTCCAGGGGATCTGGCACCCTTGAATGGATATACATTCAGGCAAAACACCAATGCACACAAATCTTGGTAGGAACACTATCAGTGTAATCTTTACTTAATTTATAAAATGATAAAGCAAGCCTCATGCATAATAACCCTGGGTCTGGAACACTTGTAGCACTCACATATATTAATGATCTTGTAATATCAAAATTGGCTTGAAGAACCTTTTACTACCTTAAAGAATTGTTTCCACCAATGATCCGTTTCTGTCGACGATGCAATAATCTCAGTCCACACCCAGAAGAGAGCATCTCTGAAAGAGAAAGGGGTTACTAATACCCATCACCTACCCCTGGTACTTCCTCCTCTATTTAAAATGAATTTTCTCAGAAAACTGTAGCATAATTTTTCTTACTATAAGAATAAGAGTTATATTTTAACCTAACAACAGTCTTGTGCAAGTAGATCAGCAACTTTATTACGTTTCCAACCATTAGGCTCTGAAGGATTTCATGGACTGCTACAATGACCCTGAATACCTTTCCCAAGGTAACATTTCTATCATAAATACACAAAGAAGAGTTCAATTAAATATATGAGAAAGTGGCAAATATATACAAAAGAAAAGAAAATATATAAGGCATGACTAAATTTTAAAATAATTTTACAAAGAATTTATGTAGGAGTCATTTCTTAAAGTATATATACACAAGTGTATATGCTGTTTATTTATAAGCATATAAATAAGTTAAAAACATGAAGTGTATAGTATACACACAGATGTTTTTGTTTTTGTTATTGTTCTATCTGTATAAGAAGGGTGGGAATTGTGCCAAGAACATGAAGGCCAAATCAGTGCTAATGGATCCAAGGTAACTAGGCAAGGGAGTCCACCAGAGAGCCAGCAGTAATTTTTGGCAAAGAAAGAGGTGCAGTAATGTGTACCAAGATGATTAATCTGCCAATGACCTTAGGGGCATGCCTTCAAAACCTGACCCTTCATCACTTTGGATATGAGTCTTACAGATGGCACTGCAATTTATTGTGTGAGAAAAACTTTACAGTAATGTTCCCCATTGGGCCAGTGTATCTGATGCCAAGAAAAGTCATGCTCTAATACTAAGCAAGCAAAAAGCACCTGACTTTAAGAAACAAAAATCAATTTTAAGCTGTACACTGGAGTAAAAAAATGAGAAGCGGGCTGGAGAGATGGCTCAGAGGTTAAGAACACTGACTGTTCTTCCAGAGGTCCTGAGTTCAATTCCCAGCACCCACATGGTGGCTCACAACCATCTGTAATGAGATCTGGCTCCCTCTTCTGGCCTGCAGGGA